ATAACAAGGTAATATCCATGTTATAACCTGGTTATTACCAGGTAATGTCTCAGGTTATAACCAGTTTATGACCAGGTAATGTCTCAAGAAGTAACCAGGTTAAAACCAGGTAATGTCTCAGTGTATAACCAGGTTATAACCAGGTTTTATCCATGTAATGTCTCAGGTTATAACCAGGTTACAACCTGGTAATAACCAAGTAATGTCTCAGATTATAACCAGGTTATAACCAGGTAATGTCTCAGGTTATAACCAGGTTATAAACAGGTCATAACCAGGTAATGTCTCAGGTTATAACCAGGTTATAACCAGGTAATGTCTCAGGTTATAACCAGGTTATAACTAGGTTATAACCAGGTAATGTCTCAGGTTATAACCAGGTAATGTCTCAGGTTATAACCAGGTTATAACCAGGTTATAACAGGGTAATGTCTCAGGTTATTACCAGGTAATAACCAGGTTATAACCAGTTTATAACCAGGTAATGTCTCAGGATATAACCAGGTTATAACCAGGTTATGACCAGGTAATGTCTCAGGATATATCCAAGTTATAACCAGGTAATGTTTCAGGATATATCTCAGGTTATAACCAGGTAATGTCTCAGGATATAACTAGGTTATAACCAGGTAATGTCTCAGGATATAACCAAGTTATAACCAGGTAATGTCTCAAGTTATAACCAGATTTAAACCATAAATGTCTCAGGATATAACCAGGTTATAACCAGGTAATGTCTCAGGATATAACCAGGTTAGAACCAGGTAATGTCTGAGGTTATAACAAGGTAAAATCCAGGTTATAACCTGGTTACTACCAGGTAATGTCTCAGGTTATAACCTGGTTATTACCAGGTAATATCTCAGGTTATAACCAAGTAATATCTCAGGTTATAACCAGGTTATTTCTCAGGATATAACCAGGTTATAACCAGGTAATGTCTCAGGATATAACTAGGTTATAACCAGGTAATGTCGCAAGATATAACCAGGTTATAACCAGGTAATGTCTCAGGATATAACCAGGTTATAACCAGGTAATGTCGCAAGATTTAACCAGGTTATAACCAGATAATGTCTCAGGATATAACCAGGTTATAAACAGGTAATGTCTCAGGACATAACCAGTTTATAACCAGCTAATATCTCAGGATATAACTAGGTTATAACCAGGTGATATCTCAGGATATAACCGATATAACCAGGTGATGTCTCAGGTTATAACCTGGTTATGACCAGGTAATGTCTCAGGATATATCCAAGTTATAACCAGGTAATGTCTCAGGATATAACCAGGTTAGAACCAGGTAATGTCTGAGGTTATAACAAGGTAATATCCATGTTATAACCTGGTTATTACCAGGTAATGTCTCAGGTTATAACCAGTTTATGACCAGGTATTGTCTCAAGAAGTAACCAGGTTAAAACCAGGTAATGTCTCAGTGTATAACCAGGTTATAACCAGGTTTTATCCATGTAATGTCTCAGGTTATAACCAGGTTACAACCTGGTAATAACCAAGTAATATCTCAGGTTATAACCAAGTTATAACTATGTTTTAACCAGGTTATGTCTCAGGATATAACTAGGTTATAACCAGGTTATAACCAGGTAATGTCTCAGGACATAACCAGGTTATAACCAGCTAATGTCTCAGGATATAACTAGTTTATAACCAGGTAATATCTCAGGATATAACCAGGTAATGTCTCAGGATATAACCAGGTTATAACCAGGTTTTGTCTCACGATTTAACCAGGTCATAACCAGGTAATGTCTCAGGTTATAACCAGTTTATAACCAGGTAATGTCTCAGGATATAGCTAGGTTATAAACAGGTAATTTCGCAAGATATAACCAGGTTATAACCAGGAAATGTCTCAGGATATAACCAGGTTATAAACAGGTGATGTCTCAGGTTATAACTGGGTTAGAACCAGATAATGTTTCAGGATATAACCAGGTTATAACCAGGTTATGACCAGATAATGTCTCAGGAAATATCCAAGTTATAACCAGGTAATGTTTCAGGACATAACCAAGTTATAACCAGGTAATGTCTCAGGATATAACTAGGTTATAACCAGGTAATGTCTCAGGTTATAACCAGGTTATAACCACGTTATAACCAGGTAATGTCTCAGGTTATAACCAGGTTATGACCAGGTAATGTCTCAAGATGTAACCAGGTTATAACCAGGTAATGTCTCAGTCTATAACCAGGTTAGAACCAGGTTAGAACCAGGTAATATCGCAGGTTATAACCAGGTAATGTCTCAGGTTATAACTAGGTTATAACCAGGTAATGTCTCAGGAAATAACTAGATTCTAACCAGGTAATGTCTCAGGATATAACCAGGTTATAACCAGGTAATGTCTCAGGCTATAACTAGGTTAGAACCAGGTAATGTCTCAGGACATAACCAGGTTATAACCAGGTAATGTTTTAGGATATAAGTAGGTTATAACCAGGTAATATCTCAGGATATAACCGATATAACCAGGTAATGTCTCAGGATATAACCAGGTTATAACCAGGTTATAACCGGGTAATGTCTCAGGTCATAGATAGGTTGTAACCAGGTAATGTATCAGGTTATAACCAGTTTATAGCCAGGTTATAACCAGGTAATGTATCAGGTTATAACCAGGTTATATCCAGTTTATTGCCAGGTAATGTCTCAGTTTATAACCAGGTAATGGCTCAGGTTATAACCAGGTAATGTCTCAGGTTACAACCATGTAGTAACCAGGTTATAACCAGGTTATTACCAGGTAATGTCTCAGGTTCTAACCAGGTTCTATCCAGGTAATGTCTCAGATTATAACCAGGTTATAACCAGGTAATGTCTCAGTTTATAACCAGGTTATAACCAGGTAATGTCTCAGGATATAACTAGGTTATAACCAGGTAATGTCGCAAGATATAACCAGGTTATAACCAGGTAATGTCTCAGGATATAACAAGGTTATAACCAGGTAATGTCGCAAGATATAACCAGGTTATAACCAGATAATGTCTCAGGATATAACCAGGTTATAAACAGGTAATGTCTCAGGACATAACCAGGTTATAACCAGCTAATGTCTCAGGATATAACTAGGTTATAACCAGGTGATATCTCAGGATATAACCGATATAACCAGGTGATGTCTCAGGTAATAACCTGGTTATGACCAGGTAATGTCTCAGGATATATCCAAGTTATAACCAGGTAATGTCTCAGGATATAACCAGGTTAGAACCAGGTAATGTCTGAGGTTATAACAAGGTAATATTCATGTTATAACCTGGTTATTACCAGGCAATGTCTCAGGTAATAACCAGGTTGTGACCAGGTAATGTCTCAAGAAATAACCAGGTTAAAACCAGGTAATGTCTCAGTGTATAACCAGGTTATAACCAGGTTTTATCCATGTAATGTCTCAGGTTATAACCAGGTTACAACCTGGTAATAACCAAGTAATATCTCAGGTTATAACTATGTTTTAACCAGGTTATGTCTCAGGATATAACTAGGTTATAACCAGGTTATAACCAGGTAATGTCTCAGGACATAACCAGGTTATAACCAGCTAATGTCTCAGGATATAACTAGTTTATAACCAGGTAATATCTCAGGATATAACCAGGTAATGTCTCAGGATATAACCAGGTTATAACCAGGTAATGTCTCAGGATATAACCAGGTTATAACCAGGTTTTGTCTCACGATTTTAACCAGGTCATAACCAGGTAATGTCTCAGGTTATAACCAGTTTATAACCAGGTAATGTCTCAGGATATAGCTAGGTTATAAACAGGTAATTTCGCAAGATATAACCAGGTTATAACCAGGAAATGTCTCAGGATATAACCAGGTTATAAACAGGTGATGTCTCAGGTTATAACTGGGTTAGAACCAGATAATGTTTCAGGATATAACCAGGTTATAACCAGGTTATGACCAGATAATGTCTCAGGAAATATCCAAGTTATAACCAGGTAATGTTTCAGGACATAACCAAGTTATAACCAGGTAATGTCTCAGGATATAACTAGGTTATAACCAGGTAATGTCTCAGGTTATAACCAGGTTATAACCACGTTATAACCAGGTAGTGTCTCAGTCTATAACCAGGTTAGAACCAGGTTAGAACCAGGTAATATCTCAGGTTATAACCAGGTAATGTCTCAGGTTATAACTAGGTTATAACCAGGTAATGTCTCAGGAAATAACTAGATTCTAACCAGGTAATGTCTCAGGATATAACCAGGTTATAACCAGGTAATGTCTCAGGATATAACTAGGTTAGAACCAGGTAATGTCTCAGGACATAACCAGGTTATAACCAGGTAATGTTTTAGGATATAAGTAGGTTATAACCAGGTAATATCTCAGGATATAACCGATATAACCAGGTAATGTCTCAGGATATAACCAGGTTATAACCAGGTTATAACCGGGTAATGTCTCAGGTCATAGATAGGTTGTAACCAGGTAATGTATCAGGTTATAACCAGTTTATAGCCAGGTTATAACCAGGTAATGTATCAGGTTATAACCAGGTTATATCCAGTTTATTGCCAGGTAATGTCTCAGTTTATAACCAGGTAATGGCTCAGGTTATAACCAGGTAATGTCTCAGGTTATAACCAGGTTATAAACAGGTAATGTCTCAGGTTATAACCAGGTTATAAACAGGTAATGTCTCAGGTTATAACCAGGTTATAAACAGGTAATGTCTCAGATTATAACCAGGTTATAACCAGGTAATGTCTCAGGTTATAACCAGGTTATAAACAGGTCATAACCAGGTAATGTCTCAGGTTATAACCAGGTTATAACCAGGTAATGTCTCAGGTTATAACCAGGTTATAACTAGGTTATAACCAGGTAATGTCTCAGGTTATAACCAGGTAATGTCTCAGGTTATAACCAGGTTATAACCAGGTTATAACAGGGTAATGTCTCAGGTTATTACCAGGTAATAACCAGGTTATAACCAGTTTATAACCAGGTAATGTCTCAGGATATAACCAGGTTATAACCAGGTTATAACCAGGTATTGTCTCAGGATATAACCAGGTTATAACCAGGTAATGTCTCAGGTTATAACCAGGTTATAACCACGTTATAACCAGGTAGTGTCTCAGGTTATAACCAGGTTATGACCAGGTAATGTCTCAAGATGTAACCAGGTTATAACCAGGTAATGTCTCAGTCTATAACCAGGTTAGAACCAGGTTAGAACCAGGTAATATCTCAGGTTATAACCAGGTAATGTCTCAGGTTATAAGTAGGTTATAACCAGGTAATGTCTCAGGATATAACCAGGTTATAACCAGGTAATGTCTCAGGATATAACTAGGTTATAACCAGGTAATGTCTCAGGACATAACCAGGTTATAACCAGGTAATGTTTTAGGATATAAGTAGGTTATAACCAGGTAATATCTCAGGATATAACCGATATAACCAGGTAATGTCTCAGGATATAACCAGGTTCTAACCAGGTTATAACCAGGTAATGTCTCAGGTTATAGCTAGGTTGTAACCAGGTAATGTATCAGGTTATAACCAGTTTATAGCCAGGTTTTAACCAGGTAATGTATCAGGTTATAACCAGGTTATATCCAGGTTATTGCCAGGTAATGTCTCAGTTTATAACCAGGTAATGGCTCAGGTTATAACCAGGTAATGTCTCAGGTTACAACCATGTAGTAACCAGGTTATAGCCAGGTTATTACCAGGTAATGTCTCAGGTTCTTACCAGGTTCTAACCAGGTAATGTCTCAGATTATAACCAGGTTGTAACCAGGTAATGTCTCAGGTTATAACCAGGTTATAAACAGGTCATAACCAGGTAATGTCTCAGGTTATAACCAGGTTATAAACAGGTAATGTCTCAGGTTATAACCAGGTTATAAACAGGTAATGTCTCAGGTTATAACCAGGTTATAAACAGGTAATGTCTCAGATTATAACCAGGTTATAACCAGGTAATGTCTCAGGTTATAACCAGGTTATAAACAGGTCATAACCAGGTAATGTCTCAGGTTATAACCAGGTTATAACCAGGTAATGTCTCAGGTTATAACCAGGTTATAACTAGGTTATAACCAGGTAATGTCTCAGGTTATAACCAGGTAATGTCTCAGGTTATAACCAGGTTATAACCAGGTTATAACAGGGTAATGTCTCAGGTTATTACCAGGTAATAACCAGGTTATAACCAGTTTATAACCAGGTAATGTCTCAGGATATAACCAGGTTATAACCAGGTTATGACCAGGTAATGTCTCAGGATATATCCAAGTTATAACCAGGTAATGTTTCAGGATATATCTCAGGTTATAACCAGGTAATGTCTCAGGATATAACTAGGTTATAACCAGGTAATGTCTCAGGATATAACCAAGTTATAACCAGGTAATGTCTCAAGTTATAACCAGATTTAAACCATAAATGTCTCAGGATATAACCAGGTTATAACCAGGTAATGTCTCAGGATATAACCAGGTTAGAACCAGGTAATGTCTGAGGTTATAACAAGGTAAAATCCAGGTTATAACCTGGTTACTACCAGGTAATGTCTCAGGTTATAACCTGGTTATTACCAGGTAATATCTCAGGTTATAACCAAGTAATATCTCAGGTTATAACCAGGTTATTTCTCAGGATATAACCAGGTTATAACCAGGTAATGTCTCAGGATATAACTAGGTTATAACCAGGTAATGTCGCAAGATATAACCAGGTTATAACCAGGTAATGTCTCAGGATATAACCAGGTTATAACCAGGTAATGTCGCAAGATTTAACCAGGTTATAACCAGATAATGTCTCAGGATATAACCAGGTTATAAACAGGTAATGTCTCAGGACATAACCAGTTTATAACCAGCTAATATCTCAGGATATAACTAGGTTATAACCAGGTGATATCTCAGGATATAACCGATATAACCAGGTGATGTCTCAGGTTATAACCTGGTTATGACCAGGTAATGTCTCAGGATATATCCAAGTTATAACCAGGTAATGTCTCAGGATATAACCAGGTTAGAACCAGGTAATGTCTGAGGTTATAACAAGGTAATATCCATGTTATAACCTGGTTATTACCAGGTAATGTCTCAGGTTATAACCAGTTTATGACCAGGTATTGTCTCAAGAAGTAACCAGGTTAAAACCAGGTAATGTCTCAGTGTATAACCAGGTTATAACCAGGTTTTATCCATGTAATGTCTCAGGTTATAACCAGGTTACAACCTGGTAATAACCAAGTAATATCTCAGGTTATAACCAGGTTATAACTATGTTTTAACCAGGTTATGTCTCAGGATATAACTAGGTTATAACCAGGTTATAACCAGGTAATGTCTCAGGACATAACCAGGTTATAACCAGCTAATGTCTCAGGATATAACTAGTTTATAACCAGGTAATATCTCAGGATATAACCAGGTAATGTCTCAGGATATAACCAGGTTATAACCAGGTTTTGTCTCACGATTTAACCAGGTCATAACCAGGTAATGTCTCAGGTTATAACCAGTTTATAACCAGGTAATGTCTCAGGATATAGCTAGGTTATAAACAGGTAATTTCGCAAGATATAACCAGGTTATAACCAGGAAATGTCTCAGGATATAACCAGGTTATAAACAGGTGATGTCTCAGGTTATAACTGGGTTAGAACCAGATAATGTTTCAGGATATAACCAGGTTATAACCAGGTTATGACCAGATAATGTCTCAGGAAATATCCAAGTTATAACCAGGTAATGTTTCAGGACATAACCAAGTTATAACCAGGTAATGTCTCAGGATATAACTAGGTTATAACCAGGTAATGTCTCAGGTTATAACCAGGTTATAACCACGTTATAACCAGGTAATGTCTCAGGTTATAACCAGGTTATGACCAGGTAATGTCTCAAGATGTAACCAGGTTATAACCAGGTAATGTCTCAGTCTATAACCAGGTTAGAACCAGGTTAGAACCAGGTAATATCTCAGGTTATAACCAGGTAATGTCTCAGGTTATAACTAGGTTATAACCAGGTAATGTCTCAGGAAATAACTAGATTCTAACCAGGTAATGTCTCAGGATATAACCAGGTTATAACCAGGTAATGTCTCAGGCTATAACTAGGTTAGAACCAGGTAATGTCTCAGGACATAACCAGGTTATAACCAGGTAATGTTTTAGGATATAAGTAGGTTATAACCAGGTAATATCTCAGGATATAACCGATATAACCAGGTAATGTCTCAGGATATAACCAGGTTATAACCAGGTTATAACCGGGTAATGTCTCAGGTCATAGATAGGTTGTAACCAGGTAATGTATCAGGTTATAACCAGTTTATAGCCAGGTTATAACCAGGTAATGTATCAGGTTATAACCAGGTTATATCCAGTTTATTGCCAGGTAATGTCTCAGTTTATAACCAGGTAATGGCTCAGGTTATAACCAGGTAATGTCTCAGGTTACAACCATGTAGTAACCAGGTTATAACCAGGTTATTACCAGGTAATGTCTCAGGTTCTAACCAGGTTCTATCCAGGTAATGTCTCAGATTATAACCAGGTTATAACCAGGTAATGTCTCAGTTTATAACCAGGTTACAAGCTGGTTATAACCAAGTAATATCTCAGGTTATAACTAGGTTATAACTAGGTTTTAACCAGGTTATGTCTCAGGATATAACTAGGTTATAACCAGGTTATAACCAGGTAATGTCTCAAGACATAACCAGGTTATAACCAGCTAATGTCTCAGGATATAACTAGGTTATAACCAGGTAATATCTCAGGATATAACCAGGTAATGTCTCAGGATATAACCAGGTTATAACCAGGTAATGTCTCTGGATATAACCACGTTATAACCAGGTTTTGTCTCACGATTTAACCAGGTTATAACCAGGTAATGTCTCAGGTTATAACCAGTTTATAACCAGGTAATGTCTCATGATATAGCTAGGTTATAACCAGGTAATTTCGCAAGATATAACCAGGTTATAACCAGGTAATGTCTCAGGATATAACCAGGTTATAAACAGGTGATGTCTCAGGTTATAACCAGGTAATGTCTCAGGTTATAACTGGGTTAGAACCAGATAATGTTTCAGGATATAACTAGGTTATAACCAGGTTATGACCAGGTAATGTGTCAGGATATATCCAAGTTATAACCAGGTAATGTTTCAGGACATAACCAGGTTATAATCAGGTAATGTCTCAGGATATAACTAGGTTATAACCAGGTATTGTCTCAGGATATAACCAGGTTATAACCAGGTAATGTCTCAGGTTATAACCAGGTTATAACCACGTTATAACCAGGTAGTGTCTCAGGTTATAACCAGGTTATGACCAGGTAATGTCTCAAGATGTAACCAGGTTATAACCAGGTAATGTCTCAGTCTATAACCAGGTTAGAACCAGGTTAGAACCAGGTAATATCTCAGGTTATAACCAGGTAATGTCTCAGGTTATAAGTAGGTTATAACCAGGTAATGTCTCAGGATATAACCAGGTTATAACCAGGTAATGTCTCAGGATATAACTAGGTTATAACCAGGTAATGTCTCAGGACATAACCAGGTTATAACCAGGTAATGTTTTAGGATATAAGTAGGTTATAACCAGGTAATATCTCAGGATATAACCGATATAACCAGGTAATGTCTCAGGATATAACCAGGTTCTAACCAGGTTATAACCAGGTAATGTCTCAGGTTATAGCTAGGTTGTAACCAGGTAATGTATCAGGTTATAAGCAGTTTATAGCCAGGTTTTAACCAGGTAATGTATCAGGTTATAACCAGGTTATATCCAGGTTATTGCCAGGTAATGTCTCAGTTTATAACCAGGTAATGGCTCAGGTTATAACCAGGTAATGTCTCAGGTTACAACCATGTAGTAACCAGGTTATAGCCAGGTTATTACCAGGTAATGTCTCAGGTTCTTACCAGGTTCTAACCAGGTAATGTCTCAGATTATAACCAGGTTGTAACCAGGTAATGTCTCAGGTTATAACCAGGTTATAAACAGGTCATAACCAGGTAATGTCTCAGGTTATAACCAGGTTATAAACAGGTAATGTCTC